CCTGCTTTTCGGAACTTTCAGTTTCTTCGCGTCTATGCTCGCCACGGTTTGTGATAACTATAAATCTATCTTTTTAGGCACTTTACTCTATCGGCTACGATAGGTACAGTGAGCTTCCTCACTCGAATACGGAAGAAGGACTTAAATTTCTGAATCCAGACCCCGAGGCCCTTAGATACGTCATGAAGGGTTCCGATGACTAATTTCCCCCCTTGTTACATATAGTTGCGTTGCACCTAGCATAGTTACGAGCCCCCATCCATCAATTAAGAAATATATCTTTCCTTCCTTCCGCTTTTTGCTTGCTTCATGGGACTTATAACTTCATTAACCGACCTGTAAGGGACCAAGAACTACCGTCGCTATCCGTAAGGATAGATTAACGCCCTTAATCAGCTGGCTTCTAGCTCAATAGAATTCTGCCTACTGGATATTCGCTGCGTCTGTAAAACTCGGGTAGCCAGATACGCGACTACTATGTAGGCTCGATTAGTCAAAATCATAGTACTAGGTGCGTAAACCTATTTATATGCTGTAAAAGGAAGCAGGCAAGAGCCTCGTGTAGACTGAGTCAGTCCGGCTAGAATTTACTCGCTTGCCCGCAGAGCCGAGCATCCTCTATTTGTCATGCAGACAGCGTTTGAAATAAGAAGACCACAGAGTTTACTCTTGTCCGTATATTAAAAATCGGTTCATGAATGCAGATTGGGGAGGATCGCATCAAGCCATGACTGCTCTAAAAGGCTAATTGTCCCCCTCGCCGTTTTGACGCGCCAGATCGGTATGTCTGTGATTGGACTTCGACCCAGAACACCTAAAACGGATATTCCGGAAGATAAGTGTGCTCTTTTTGTTGACACTAACCTTGGTACAGTTTGATCCCCCCTGTCAATTCCGACAAGTCAGTATTATCAAGTTGTGCAGACTTCAGTTCAATATTAGACGCAGATAACTCTAGGTAGGCCCCAACATTATCGCTGGCACACGCAATACGGTGCTTTGACAAGCAGGAGGTTGAAACCTTACGTCTGAAATTAGGTATTCTTACTTTTCCGTGGTCGTCTGAAGTATCGCTAGCTTTAGGTAGGCCAAGAGTCACGTCCAATTCCGCTCCAGTGATATTTATGTCGTCACAAGGTCCGGAGAGATAGCATTTTAATTTTCCCAATCGCTGACGATGCTCTAGGCAACCTTCAAGGGAGCCTGATAAAGAG